TCTTTACTCAAAATGTAATAGAAATTTTTTTTTGTATGTAAATATTTCTTTAAATTTTGTAATACCATGGAGAAATACAACAAATATTTAATATTTGAATTATTAATTATTAATCTAATTGATATTATTTTTATTTAATATTGTTATTAATCTATTGCCGATTGAAATAACTAAACTAAGCGTTAATCTATTTGCCGATTAAATATCTACTATAGCTATTATATTATGATTATATTTAGGTCAATAATGATGAATAAAACAGTATAGAAAGCTTCCGCGAGTACAATTTAATTAATTTTTTAAGCAATTTTCTGTTTCCTTCATTTTGATGTAAAGAACGTTATAACTATGATTACTATTTATACATTTTATTAAAGTCCGTTGCATTGCTTGAGATATTTTAATTACATACATAAATATTGCTTTATTAAGTACGAATTATTTCAAATACAAAACTCTAAATAAATTTCATTTAAAAATGAAACAATGTCTTCTTGAATCAATTGTATTGTCTATATGTTCACGAACAACAGAGTGTAAAATATATTTTTTAGTTACAGAATAATTATATTTTTAATTTCATTTTAAGAACGATAATATTTAATAGTAGAAATAACAGTAATTTTAATAATTTGATTTTCCAATGTAATCATTTTTAAACGTTTGCATATTTTTAATTTTAAATTAAATGCACTAACTCTGAAATTTTACATTTTAAATGAAAATATAGAGATCAGTTTTCTAATTTATAGTATGTCACTGATACAGAATAAACAACTTACGTGCTTTGAATATTTAGTGTGCTTATGTTATTATCTGGTATTGAATGAGAGTCGTAAATTCCGTGTGTTTCTTCTGTGTAAATATGAGTTCTTATGAATACTAATCATTGTACAAGTTGTCGTTGCTTGGTACTGAGAATCCAATATCAACAAGCTAGATGACAGAATTATACTGACGGCATTATTTGATTGCCAGTCTCGTCTTTTCAGTGATGGAAGTCACTTCAATATGACAAGAGAAAAGATAGAATAAGCGTTCATTTTAATATTTCAAAATTGTAACATTTCATTGAAGTGATTGAACGGTAAGTACCACAATATCTACTAATAAAAAAAATTGAAGTAAATTTTCTATTTTAATAATACATTTACAGCAATGAATATGATGCATGCATTGTTAATTTCTTACAAGGAATGTTGATGTCGTCAAGATATTTTAGCACAATTGTTTTAATCAAATATTAATGATTGATCGAAGATTAAAATAATTTAGAAAATCTATAAAACATGAAAAGTCGATTACACGAAGCTAAAGTAAAGAAAAAAAATGCAAGTATGTACAAACGTAAATATCCCAAAATGTAGTAAATTTTGTAAGTATTATTATTTTATTCGGAATAATTGATTGCCTAAACCATTCTAAATTTAGGATAATTATTATGAGACACATGGCTCGAGACTGGATATTTTATATTAACAATAAGATCGTTGATCGACAGCATTCACCAGGAGGGACGAGAATTCGGAAATTATTTTAAAATATATAAGTGCACGAAAGCTTCGAAGTATTCGCATCATTATATGCTACAAATGTCTTACAATAAGATAGAATGATAGAAAGATTTATGTATTAATGAAGGAAAGATCATACGTATCGTTAATCTGAGTTAATATTACTTTGAGAAATATTCATAGTTGTATAACATATCAGTGTCGATGCTATTTTCTCTTAGATAAAAGGAAATTAATATATGCGACTTTAAAATGCAGATCTCCTTCATTAGAAATCTAAATATCGTTTCACATGAAAATAAACTGCGTAAAACGAGTTTGATTTTCTTTAAATAGCTTTAACGTATTTATGAACATCACTTCGTCGTAGATAAACGATACTTATGTATTTCAATGTAGACGTATCTGTTACGACGTCGCATTTATATTTATATTTCTAAATTTTTAAGAGAAAATGTTGACTTCAACGTATGAAATATTTCTCAATGTAATTTATATATTAATTATCACGTTCTCAGTACCGGCAGTGAAGTAGGGCAATGATATTTGTAACTTCGGTTAATATTAATTGATATCTATTCCATGCGAATTACATTTTTTGATGACGTGCGTAGTAAATATAACAAAGACGTCTCTGGAAAAATTCTATAATAAATACTTTCGTAGGTTTCGGGAATGCGTAATTTTGTAAGATTCGCGTAATAATTTTTGACTGCTTCGGATATGTATTAACTTTTGCTAGCTAACATTAGATTTTTAAGAAAAGTATAATCTGTTAATTTTATTGATTCATTAATATGTATGCGACGTTTTCGGCGTAGGTAGTAAAATTCTATACTTAATAGAACAACCGCGATGTTTTTACAATTCTAAATTTTTTCACTATAATAATAGTTCACTATTAGAATTCTAAATGTTTTCGTTATTATAATAGGAGTCAGCAATCATCAGGGGTCCTTTTCACTTCGGTGATTCGTGCTCTTTAAGGACTTTTTGATGAGAAGGTGACTTTATTCATTCAATTCACAAACTGTATGTTCGTAATCGCACAAAATATTTTCACATTTCGTTGCTCACGGCTGACTAAATTAATAATGTACTTCTCGGTATTTTCACTTTTATTAGAACTTTTTGGCGTGTTAGTTTAGAATAATAATTTTGTACTACTTATTTTAAATAAATCTTTACATGCACGAGACAATGAATATTATTTATTGTAATGTTTATTTAAGAAATCGTTTGGGAATAAGAAATATAATGCGAGTCGTATAAGTATAAAACAATAACTTTTTATTTGTTCCTTATTTTTAATTTAATTTCAATAATGAAAAATATATTCTTCTTAATAAATTGTAAACGAATTTTCGAACAATTGCGTAAGGTCTTCCTCGGACTGTTCTCTTGGCGCTAATTTTGTAATACGATGCTGGAAACAAATGAAAAAATGTCGTGTTGAATGTTATGTTGATAATAAGCGCGAAAAAATGTATTATCGTGATATGTATTAGAATTTAATATAAATTCGTCGTTACTCAAATCTAAACGATGAAATGTTTGTAAAAGCAAGTTATGACACAATTATAAATTTGCCATATTTAGGAGGGAAATGTGTTTATAATATGACAAATTTATATAATTGTAGTGAATAATGTATGGTGATCAATAAATCACTATTGTAAATTCAAGTGTCATTTTATATCACACATATTTAGTATAAAAATTTGAGAAAGGTAAATCTACTTATATATGACTTTAATTTATTTCTCATTCAGTATAGCAATTAATTAAACTTCCGAGAGTGTTAAAAAGATTAGTTTGTAAAATCTTCGAATCATTTTGGTTCTGAAATATTTATTTTATAAATAATAATGTGTCACAATACGATGTTCATAAATGATGTTGCACATATTACTCAAATCTTTATTAGAAACTATGACAACGCGAATTTAGGTAAATTAAACCAATTTTAAATCAAATAATATAAATAATAATATAAGTAATAGCTAAAATAGTAATTATATTCATATTTTGTTAATTAAATTCAGTTGAAGTTGCTATTTGACTAAGAATAAAATTTATCTGTAACTCGATTTATATAATCTGTTTACATTGAACTAATTTACATACTCTTACAACTGAAAATACGTTTGCAAATAAAGGTTTAATCTGGTTTGATTAAAAAGTAAAACTAATTCGAGTAACGTGCAAGGATTAATTAAGGTAATTAAAATAGTAAATGAGCAGAGTAAGATCTCACCTGTGGCAGTGTACCCTGAACCAGAGTAGGAATGTCTTCCTTTTTAAATCCTAAGTTTGTCAGACCATTTTCGACTTTCATTTTTAGCATGTACTCTTTCACGGTATCGGCTAATATCTTGCCTGCGTCTTCTCTCTTTGCTCGCTTAACGTCGGCACCAAGCAATTCCGCGGCTTCTAAATGCCTTTCCGGGCAAGCACTTCCAGTGAATGCAAATACAGCGGGCGCTGATATTACTACTGAAAGACCGTGCGGTACTATAGGGTGATCTTTAGAGTAACCCTGTAACCATTTTATATTACAACATTAGAAGGACGTTATGAAGTGTCAGTAATTTTTCAATGCTTAATTTGTAAGTCTAGATACTGTATTTGCTAAAGATAAATTAAATCATATTTGAAAACATTATATTTTTAGTTCATTTTTAACATATAATCGTTAAAGAAGTTATTCAAAATTTCAACAATTGTAACGAATAGATCATCATTTATAATATCCAGTCATTATGTATAATATTATTTGAATCTAAATTAGATTTAGGTTAAATTTTCGTTTGTCATTATTTATAGTAGCTTTATAATATAATTAAACACTTATAAATTGTTTAAACTGTTGTGATAATTTTTATACATATCAATATACAGATTAATGCATATTATCAACAACATAATACTTGGTTCAACTGAATAAAATAAATGATGACTTATGTAAATATGTTTCAAGAATATAATTTTAATTACGAAATAGTCAAGCTACTTTGAAAATTGTTCATCAATTTCTATATATTCTATTCTGGCTACTTTTTAACAACACTTTAAATTGGAATTAATTTCTTATTAATATATTAGACTGTGTAATTAGGAATATCGACAATTTAATTTTCTATAGAAGGTATGGTTTCGATTAGAGATATGTTTGATATAAACAAATTTCTTACACTCATAAACTTAATTGAATATATGGCTAAACATTTTGGAAGATAAAGTTTTATTTTCGAAACTTGTATAAATGGGATTTAAAAATTTCAAAATGAAAGTTAGAAATCCTAATCTGTATTGTTTCTATTTTAGAAAGAAAATGATGAATTATGAAATTTTAATGAACATTCTGATTTCTCGCTTTTTTATGTCACTGCTACATGAAATTAATAACATAAAAAAATATTCAGTATATTTGAACAGAATTATGTTACGACCTACTAATTCAAAATGTTATAGTAAGTTACTTAAAAAGAGATTTATTTAAGAATGTCGCCTTAGAATTATAACTATACCAATTATCAATAATTATAATTAAAACTAAATTTACCTCTGGTTGAAAATTTCGTACGTTTCCGCTAATGGGATAAGAGAGACCGTGACACAAATGCACACCGGCGTTACCAAACCCAACACCCGCCATAGTACTTGCAAGATGCATGCTACTTCTAGCTTCAAGATCGTCTGGGTTATAAACAGCTCTCGCAAAATACCTATAAAAGGTGAAACACATGTAATCATTATTTACAAAATATTTATTCACAATTGAGAATATAATTTTAAATTTTATTGAATGTAATTCTATACTTTCTTTACTTATTCAAATTTAATATTTATGTACTTTATACATTAAATATCTGCTATTATTTAACAGTAAGACAAAATATATTTTTACTTCTATTTTGTATTTACAGCTGAATAAAGTAATGTAATTTCATTTACTTAACCCTAGATAACAAAATTTAAATCAGCCTTACACTATAATTAAATATTCAACTCATGGACTACAAATTAAAGACATATTTTATGTTTTTTCTATTTATTTCAAAGAAAGTGTCACAATCTAAGACATATATTATTAGTTTTTAATTAAAAAATAGAAAAGCGTTCTAAAATAACGTTTGCAGTCTTGGCACATGTTAAAAGTGTGCTCCGGAATTTTAATTCACAAAAGTCGGTAGATTGTTTAGACGAATGTTTAGTTAATTAGGATTAAGCAACGAAAAGAACTTTTAAGATGAGCGAAATCAGTACCAGGAGTTTTATTTTTTAAAAAGCGTTTGTATTTTTCGATAAGTGTTAGTTATAGTGAAATTGTGCTTACTTGCGCATTATTTGAAGAGCGTATTTTGACCATACATCACTGATAGGATTGCTGCCCTGATAAGCTGGCCTGAGAATAGGATTTGTAGGACATGGTGTCCTTTCCGAATATGGTATGGCAGTGAAGGATTCAAGGGCATGGCAGAGCACGTCAAAACCAGAATAGGCGCAGACTCTTTCTGGCATAGTCAATGTATGTTCCGGATCAATTAAGCCTAGAGTAGGTCTCAAAGCTCTGCATTCATAGATAAAAACAAATGTTGACAAATTATGTTCAATACTTTTGCGAAACATTTGGTTCTAGTTAATGTAAATACATAATTTTCTTATTCAGAAATTCATTACAAGACGTGATTCTATATGAAAAAATAAATAAAAATTCTAGAATACTATCTTTTCTTTTGAAATCTTTTTTTGAGATAAGACACAAATATAAAAATTATACATATAATTATATTTATATATATATATATATATATTTATTATATTATTAAAATTATATATATTTATTATATGTATGTATGTATATATGTGTGTGTGTGTGTGTGTGTATGTATTTAGTTCATGTTAATTTTATATACGAATATAGAATTATCCATTTCATTATTAGGTTCAACATAATTGACTAGAATCCTTTTGATGTACCATTGACTAGTATATGTATTTATAAGATAAACAAAAGAACATATTTATATAACGATCAAATAACAAAATATTTGAATAGATGCGCGTACAATAGAAATTCTGCAGCTAAGATATCAGTATTTGTACGTTTTGTTTGCATAAATAAAGTAAAAATTATATAAATAAAGTCTATTATAAATATTTACTATTACCTATTACAAATTTTCAGAAATCTTACAGTAATTTAAGTCTTTCTACAATATTTTATGACTTACATGGTGATACAGGTATGTACAATATATTATTACTTATGCTTTATAATCCTTAAGCAATTATAATTAAATTTGAGTAACAATTTCTGTAAACAAACTACTAATAATATTTGCCAGTACAATATTAATTTAGATTTTACTTTGATATGATAAATAAGTTTTTACCTATTAGCGATACCAGTTTTAGCTTTGAGCGGTCGGTAATCAAAGATGGAGACACCTGTAGTTTCCGAACCAGTACCGGAAGTAGTGGGTACCGCTACCAGTGGTTTCAATGGCACTCGAATTGGTTTTCCTTTGCCAATAGGCGCATTCACGTAGTCCAAAAAATCTGCTTCTGGATCGCAACTATACAAATTTGCTGCCTTACAAGTATCTATCACCGAGCCACCGCCAATCTATAAGTAAATGAATATTATATTTCATTTTTATCATACTAGCGCAAGTCGGTGAAAGATGGCCCACTGTTTTTGAGAAAACAATTACATAAATATCATTGATACCTAATAAAACAAAATATATTTCTGACAGTAAATTGCATATACGAAGAATAGTTAAATAGGCTTCTGTGTAAGATTCAGTATACCACTAAAACAATTGAAAATTTTGATATTTGACAATTTAAATGAGATCGGCCTATTTCAGTTGCAGGACTATTTTACCCGGAATTAATATCTTAAAAATGATTTCATAAAAATGTTCAATATACTTAGCATGACAGAATTAAAAATTTGAGAAAGATAACTCTATATATGACTTTAATTTATTTTTCATTCATTCTAGCAATTAATTAAACTCCTGAGAGTATTAACAAAATTAATTTACGAAATCTTCAAAACATTTTGGATATCTTACCGCTATAAAGGCATCGAATTTCCCACGTATGGCACAATCGATAGCATCCTGAAGGCTTTTCTCTGTAGGTTCAACGCGTACCTTATCGTAGACCTCAAATTCTATACCAGCTTTCGTAAGACTATCCATAGCAGTTTTAACAGGTGTTAGATTCGTTAAATTCGAATCCGTCATTAAACATGCCTTCTTTGCGTCTAAATTTTGCATATCCATACCCAGTTCTCTGGTGACACCAACGCCATATCGTATCGTGGAACAGGCCATCTGCAATTACCTTTAATTTGTTTTATAACGGAATCAGTAAGCAGTGCATTTAAAAATCAATTATTATGTTTATATTTATTATTATAAATATTTAAAATATTAAATATTCTGTGCTTTAAGTTCGATATCGTTAATCGATTTTAAATGTTTTAAAAAACCTTCTTTGCTTTCGACAAATTACTTCCAATTCTTTCGCAATTAATTTGAGGAATTATACCGTACATTCAAGAATGCAGAAACAAGTTCATTTGATTTTGCATTCTGTATCCATTATTTACAACAATTTAAGTTCTTAAAAATACTAAAAGCTATTAAAATTCCAAATTAAATTTCTAAAGGAAGAAAGTTAAAAAGAGTTCGAAAAAAATTTGGAAATATTTATCGTAACGATTCTAGTTGGAATTTCTGATACGCACGTTTCTTTCTTGTACCTTTATGTTAATTTTTACGTTATTAATTTTTTGTTATTTTTAGACTCCATTAAAGGAATTAAAAACAATGAAATAAACAAACGAACGCATAATAAACCTAAATTTTACTATTATCGTTGTACAACAACTTTATTTATAAAAGTATAATTGTATATTTACTTGAATAATGATACTAATTGAATTAGACTGCGCCAAATATCCGTATACAACTGTAAACGTAGCGTTTCAAAATATGTTATCTCAGTAAATATTGATTACGTTCATGTTTTGCAACGATATGGTTATTAACAGAAGTAAGTGCTGATTAATGCATGTCGAAGAATCATCTTCGTTTCTCATTTATGAGTTGTGTTACATATTTTATTAATGCCTACCTCAAAGGCATATTCCTTTTGTGGTGTAGCATTTGCAACTGTGCTACGAACTCTTGCTAGTTCGTGTCTAGTCGTGCCTTCCACATGAGCATGAGCTGGACATTTGCATCTATAAAGAAGTAATTTAATTAAAAAACGTTGAAATATTATCTGTCGAAGTATTATGCTATGTATATTATCAAGACAAAGGCAGAAGCATAATATATGCAAAATTGGTATCTATGGAACCGCTAAAGATAATGTACTTCAACATTCGGAAAATTTATTTAATAATATTTCCATGATATAAAATCTTTCAATTGTCAAAAACACAATTTGTAAATTATAATAAAATATATTCAAAATACGTATTTATTTGGCCACTAAATATAATACAATTAAATATTCGAAAAGTTTTATTCATAATAAATCTTTGTTATAAATACGTTAAATATCCAAACACACATTTTAGTAAAAAAATTTAAAGTATTTAGGTCAGTGTTTGTAATTATAATTTCTTCCCATACATTAGCATGTACAATTACAAGGTACTCCAAATAGTACTATTTAAAGAGAATGTATAAATATTTATATATCTTTTCGAATATCATTTTCAATGCATACCTAGTGTTCCTTCGTTAAAATATACTGCAATTATATATATTTAATTTGTAAAAACTCCAAATTTTTCGACGAATTTTATCATTTTATATAGAAATTATAATATTTATTACTTAG